AATTATCAATGGTTAAATGTGTTATAAGAAACCAGATCCCCTCTAACCTGCCTGCTGTTCTATATGAAGAATGCAACTAATTATAAATCATTTCTAAATAAAAAGAAAGATTTGGTTGGCTGCCCTCTCCTTGATCTGGTCTTTATAGTAGATAGGGGCATAATAAAGGGGCCAGTGTCTTTTTAGAGACCTTTATTATAGTAGTTTATTTTTCTTGTAGACTTAGTATGCTTTGTTTTTAAATATGATAATATGGAAGTGCTGTTTTAAGGATGAACAAATCCAATATAAAGTCATCAGTTTTTTTATTTTTTAATTTTTTTTATTTTCCCTCAGTTAAACCATTATTTATTTATTTTTTTTTTTTTATTTGCATTCACTCCCAACAAGGCTGCAAGCAACCACTATTAAGTTGGGAGTTACTAGGAAAAAAAAAGAACAGAGTTATAGAGCAAGGAAACGGTTGACAGAAGACTTAAAAAGTTGAAGGTTGTATGAGTCAGGAAAACATGAAGATGGGAGAGAGTTCCAAAGGATTGAAGTGCGGGGAAAAAAACTAGATGAATAAAAGTTTTTAGAGCATGCAGGGACAGATACAGTAAACGAATGAGACTTAGCTGAATGACGAGTAAAACGAGAATGAATTTTAGTTGATGGAACTAGAGATGATAACTCCTTTGAGCAATGACCATGATAGTATCTGTAGAAAAGAGAAAGAGATGCAACTTTACGACGATGGGAAAGAGGTTCAAGCTTAGCAGATAGTCCAGGTCCAACAACATTTACAATGCGTTTTTGGACCTTGTCAAGAAGAGAAAGTAAATCGTTAGAAGAACCAGCCCAAATATGACAACAGTATTCCATACAGGGACGAATAAGAGATTTGTAGAGGTAGAGAATGAAATCAGAAGTAAGGAAATGGCGAGCACGATAAAGAGAAGCAACCTTAGCAGAAGCTAATTTAGCAATCGATTGTATATATGGTTTCCATGAAAGGTCAGTAGTAAGCGATAATCCAAGAAGACGTAAAGAGGACGACTCAGTAAGAGGATTGCCATTCATTAATATAGGAATGTTGACCATATTACGATAGTTGTTTGCAGTAAGCAATTAGGTTTTTTTAGAGTTGAAATTCACAAGCCACTGTGAACCCTAATCTATTACTGAAGTGAGATCAGATTCAAGATCAGCTGCTTGTTCTAGGCGATCAAAAAAAGAAGACTTTTTGTCAAGACAGGAGTATAAAGTTGAGTCATCAGCAAAAAGAGCTACTTTAGATGAAAGGTTGTCAGGAAGATCGTTTATGTAGATAAGAAACAAAACAGGGCCCAGGATGGAACCTTGGGGAACCCCAGAAGTTACTGGAAATAAAGAAGAGTGTTGGCCTTCAAGGATGACTTTAATAAACCGGTCAGAAAGAAATGATTTGATAATCTCAAAAACTTTCCCAGAAACACCATATGAAGCAAGCTTATGGAGAAGACCAGCATGTCAAACTTTGTCGAAAGCTTTAGATATGTCGAGAGCAATAGCCCTAGCCTCACCGCCTCCATCTAATGCACGATAAAATCTTTCAGTTACAGCAGTTAGCAAGTCGGCCGTAGAGCGAGAGGATCGAAAACCGTATTGATTGTCTGACAACAGTTTATTTGACTCAAGATAAGATGTGAGGAATTTGTTGATCAAAGACTCAAAGACCTTGCTAATAACAGAAAGAAGACTGATCGGACGATAATTGGAGGGGTCAGAATTTTCTCCAGAGTTTTTGAATATTGGAACCACAGATGCCATTTTCCAACAAGCAGGAAAATAACACTCAGTCAAACACTTGTTAAATAGTTTAGAGAGAATTGAATAAAGTTCTGGAGAACAATTCTGCAAGACTGTGACAGGAATGTTGTCTGGACCACAAGCTGTAGACGAGTTTAATTGAGATATGACTTTAGCAACAAAAGCTGGAGTGATTTGAATGTCTAACAATGGGTCAACCTGTTTGACTGGAATGGAAGGAAGAGAATGTCCATAAGATTCAAGAGTGGAATTAGAAGAAAAGTTCTTTGCAAACAGTTCTGCCTTATCCCTGGGAGAGGTAACAAGATCAATCCCATGAATGAGAGATGGAATGTTAGATCTACCCTTGTTAACAATGCTGTTGAAGATTTTCCAAAAGTCTTTAGAGCCTAACTTCTGCGATAAGATGCGAGATTTAGTGAACTGAGAATAATGGAGTTTAGCATCAGAAAGCACCTTTTTACATCGATATCTTGCAATAATAAATAGCCGTTTGTTCTCAAGAGAGTTGTTCTTTTGAAAAAGGTGAAAAAAATGGTTATGATTGGATATAGCAGCCGCACAAGAAGGAGAAAACCATGGAGTAGAATGAGGCTTGACTTGAAACCGACGAGAAGGGATAAAAGCTTCCATTCCAGCCTGAATCCAGGAGGTTACGTAGGAGGCACATTTGTCAGCTGAGAGAGAAAAAATATCAGCCCAAGGACCATCACAAAGAAAATCACGAAAGGAATCCCAGTCAGCTTTAGGGTAGTAGTAGGTGGTGCGATGATAAGGTGAGCCCAAAAAAGAAGTACGAGAAGAAAGATTTATAGAGATCATTGCATGGTCAGAACCACCTAAGGGAGAAAAGGGAGAAACTGAACATAAGCTAGGGTCAGAGACAAGACATAAGTCAAGGAGTGAAGGTAAATGATTAGAGTTGTCAGGAAAACGAGTCACAAAGTTAACTATCTGAGAAAGAGATTGAGAAATGCAGAAGTTAAAGGCTTTAGTGCCAGCAGGATCAGTGGTGTTAGAGCCAAGCCATTCAGTGTGATGGGCATTAAAATCACCAACAACACCATTATTGGCAGAGGGGTAAAGAGAGAGGTTATGGTCAATTTGATCAGAGATAACATATAAGAGAGTGCAATCATGGGAAGAAGGAGAGCGATAAAGAACAAAGAGAAAGGTGATAGAGTGAAGAGGTGCTAGGCAAAAGCACATAAAAGAATGGTCAAAGGATTCAAACCTGATTTCACGACAAATAGGGGAATTAATGCGTATGTATACCCCTAAACCTAGCATGTGACTATTGGAGTCTTTACGAATCAAAGGATAGTACCCATCAACACTGACATCTGAAGAAGGAATTGCAGAACTGAAATTTGTTTCACTGAGTGCAAGCAAGTCTGGTGAATTTTGCAGGAGGTAAGACTCAACTGATGGAAAGTTGCTTCGTAGACCGCGAATATTTGTAAAAGATATATTAAAATATTTAGGTGGTGGGGATGGTTTTTTAGGTTTTAAATTTTTGGTTACTTTGGTCATGATTTGGGTTTAATGAGAACTTGACTCATTCATAGATAGAGCACAGCCTCCTAATCAATGAGCTATGCAGTTGTCTCAGTCCTGTTAATTAACCCTAAGCCATGACATAGGGCTCCTTATGTGGCCTTGACAATGCACACCAAAAGCATTAACAGGGACACCATCCATTCGCAACATGGCACTGTTAATACTCTGATATTCTGCAGCTGTTGATGGAATCAGCCTCTCTGAGAGCTACCACAGAGTTCGGGAAACCTTACTACCAGCCGGCCTCAGAACCATTAAACTGAGTTTTAGACCTGTACCCTCATATGGAGATAACAGGAAGAGTTGCATAGCCATTATCATAGAGGCATAAGCAAAATTCTATGAGTAGAGTCAAGGAGATCCAGCATTCATCATCCTAGGCAGGAAACAATGTAACACAGGTTACATCTACGCCAGCCTAATAGATGAAGAAGGGGTTCGAGGCTGGTTAGCAGAATTTTTCTGCTTACCCCTAAAGTCTTTGCCTAGGAGGCCTTCTACAAGACAGTAGCAGGATGCAGTTAACATCTGCCCAAGATGAATATTTTTATCGAGACACCATCTCTAGCCTTTACTCAACCAAGAGCCCCAAGGCAGGGGATGTTTAGCTGGATGCAGTTAACATCTGCCCAAGATGAGTGTTTTTATCGAGACACCATCTCTAGCCTTCACTCAACCAAGAGCCCCAAGGCAGGGGAATTTTTAGTCGGAGTTTATTTCTCCTAGCCTTTGCATAAGAAGAGCACACTCTGCAAGGCAGCAGGGCTTGTGGCAGGTGGTACTGGGTTACGTGATACCAGTAGCAAGATTGATCTTGATTATCCTGACCTGACCTGGAGTAGTTAAAAGGAGCTACTTCCCGCAACAGTACTTTGAGAAAACCAGGCATGACATTTTGGAAGTGCATAAGGAAAAACACTGCATCTAACAAAATACAGGAGTCTAAGGTGAGTGTACGTTTTGTAGTTGGAGTAAGTAGTTAGTTACTGAGCTCACGCTGCATTAGAGTATAAACAGAACACAAACAAACATAAATCAACTTACGGGTGTGTCAACACCGCGCCAGAGGTTCAGACAGAACACAAACATACATAAAAAACATAAAGTAACTTACGGGTGAGCGAACACCGCGCCAGAGGTTCAGACAGAACACAAACATACATAAAAAAACATCAAAAACATAAACATAAACATAAAGTAACTTACGGGTGAGCGAACACCGCGCCAGAGGTTCAGACAGAACACAAACATACATAAAAAACATAAAGTAACTTACGGGTGAGCGAACACCGCGCCAGAGGTTCAGACAGAACACAAACATACATAAAAAAACATCAAAAACATAAACATAAACATAAAGTAACTTACGGGTGAGCGAACACCGCGCCAGAGGTTCAGACAGAACACAGACATACATAAAGAACATAAAGTAACTTACGGGTGAGCGAACACCGCGCCAGAGGTTCAGACAGAACACAAACATACATAAAGAACATAAAGTAACTTACGGGTGAGCGAACACCGCGCCAGAGGTTCAGACAGAACACAAACATACATATAACGTAGATTACAGGTGAGCTAATACAGTAACTAAGGCACGTCCAATTATATGGGGGAAAAAAAAAAAAAAAATTACTATAGGCATGACTGATATAAGATAGTACTGATGACGGGAAGAACACTCCTTCCAGCCTTTGCTTAGATAGCAAATCCTGCAAGGCAGCAGAACATGGAACAGGTTGCACTGGGTTACATGTTACCAGTAGCAGGATGATCATGAAGACCATACTCCTGACCTGACACCATTTTTACTCAATTACTCAATTACTCAATTTTGGAATCAATATAATAATAAATAAATAATGCCTAAGGCAATAGCCTAATGTGAATTTGACATAATAAAATTCTCTTAATTTTTTTTATTTTTTAAAGAAATTATGAATTATATTGTCTATCAAGTACATTTTATATTGTCTATCAAGTACAAATTATATTGTCTATCAAGTACATTGTCTATCAAGTACATTGTCTATCAAGTACATTTTATCATTGTCTATTAAGTACAAATTATATTGTCTATCAAGTACATTTTAAAAATAAACAACGTATTTTTATATCAAATTTTTTGATAAACATTTTACACTCATTTGGCAGTTATTTTTTTATTTACAATTTTCTATAGTTTTTTTTTTTTATTACAAAATAACATTTAAATGGAAATTAACTTTAACAAAGGAAAGTCTAACATTTCATCTTTCATTTAAATGTATACCATTTTATGAATTTAAATAGGTCTCATTTTATTACCTCTCTAAAAAATTGCGCAGAACAATTTTAATCAACTTTTCCTCTAATAATTTTCTTAAACCTAATGACCACTCTTTCCTGTCATTTTAAGAAAATATATTATTCCACCATCAGATATCTAAATCACTCCTGCCTCTGTTGCTGAAGTTATTTCTCCCTTTTTTTATATCTTCTGGTCCTGCAAATATTTGTCACAGTCTTATAAAAGTGTTTTCCAGAATTCCAGAACAAACTAGGTTCAAAAATGCATTGTAAATGTTGTTGAACCTGTTCTAGTTGCCAGGCTAGGGCAGGTTCAACATTATTTACAATGCATTTTTTATGAAACTCTATCACATTAATGTAAAGTTACATCTCTTTCTCTTTTTTACAAATATTATCATGGTTACTGTTCTAGTAAGCTATCATCCTTTTTTCCATCAACCAAAACTCAATCTTGCATGACTCTTATTTAGCAAAGATGCATTATTTTGCTGTAACTGTTCCTTATTCAAAAAGATTTTGTTGAGCTAGGTTTTTCCTTTCAACATTGGTGCTTTGGAGTTTTCTCTTAAAAAAAAGTGAATGCATTAAACTCAGTTTTGTGATTTTAAGTTAAGATAACTTTTATGGTACATCAAAATATTTTTATTCTAGAAATTATTTTTAGAATAATCTTCTAAAAAGTCTAATCTTGTTGAAAAAAATATTAGTTTTATTAATCATTACATTTTACTTTATGTTGTATATTAATTTTATAAATTTTAAACTTATAATTATGTATAATTTTTTTTTTATACTTTTAATAAAATGTTTATTATCATAGTAACAATGATAATAAATATTTTAGTAAGTAAAATGATAAAGTATAAAATAAAAGTATGTAACTAAGTTATCTTTAATATTGCAGTTATGTAAATATCCAACATACTATTGTCCTCCTGGTTTGGAAGAGGTAATTCCATTGAAATATAATGAAGAATGTGTTTTAGCTAATGCTGGAAAGATTTCTTTTCTTCCTGATGACTTAATTTTTCAAGTAATAATTGAAGAAGAAGCAAATAATGACCCAGAAGAGATGTAAGATCATTGTTTTTTAATGTTTAATGAATAATAATTTATTATAAGTTATTATAATTTATTATAATGTTTAATGAATAATAATTTATATGATATTCTGGTAGAGATTTTCTAATTTAATGAAATGCAGTTCATTCTACTTTTGTTAAACATGTACCATTATCATATTGATATAAATTCGATTTTGCTTCCTAACTATTGGTAACATTAGAATTGGTAGTAATTGGTAATCAATTTTTTTTTGAATGGGCAATTGTAAATATAATTTATATTGAATGTAGTTATTACCTATTGAAAGTAAATATTATTAAAACATTTGATATTTAAAAGCACTGGAGCTGCTCCAGATAACAAATCAAAAAAATAAAATATTTTATAAAATATATGGTTTAAGTGAGGAATGTAGATTGCTTGGTACTAACTTAATTGCAGAAAATTGCCTCTCTACACTTGTTTGTAAGAAAACTACTCTTTATACCTGTATTCTTTTTAGGCATTCTTTAAATCCCTTAAAATCCGATTCCACTTTTAAACGTTTCTTTTCTTCCTTAACTTTACAGTTAATCATGAAATGAATAACTGTAAAGTTATTTATTAATGAAAAGAAACGCTTTTTAATGACAGTTTAGTTTAAAAAATTAAATTAAATTTATTTGAAAAAATAACTTCATACTACTTAGAAATCCTGTTAACAAAAAATACTTTAATTTTCTAAATTATCAAAAATAGTTCGGAGCTTGCTCTGGAGCCAGCGTCCTAATCAGCTCAGCCTGGAAATATTCCAGCTCCGGCTCAGCTCCTCATAAAAATACTATCTCCAGATAGCTCCAGATCCAGTTCTGGAGCAGCTCCAAAGCCCTGCCTAGTGACATGTGTTGTCATAAGGATGTCTAGACACCCATGAGAGGTCTGGACATCCTTATGTTATTACATTTTCATAAAGATTGTTCATAGGACATCCTCAGGAAAATATAGCCCTTTAAGTATTTTTTTTAAAAAAAAGTCACTATAATGGCTACAATTAATAGAGTAACTTTAATGATTATAAAAATATATTTAAGTTATAATATAACTATCTTGATTATTATGCAGTATTATGCGGTAGTGGTGTAGTGGTAAAACACTCGCTTCATAAGCGAGAGGTTTCGAGTTCGATCCCCACCATGTCCCTGGTAGTACCGCACTCAACTTGTTTCTCCGCGCAGCGGCCTTGTTTGTCAAGGTTTGTGTTTCAGAGTTATAAAGTTGAGAGAGGGTTATAACCACTATTAAATAGCCTCCTCGTCTGTAGTGGCCTTCTCCGCCTTAAAGAGGTAAATAACAAAAAAAAAAAAAAAAAAAAAAAAAAAAAAAAAATAGTTTACAATGTGATTACCTTGATTTGATTTTAAAAAATAAAGAATTTTTTTTTTTAATAATAAATCAAAAAATTAATAAGGATGGGTCAATAGCCCCTGATATATATATATATATATATATATATATATATATATATATATATATATATATATATATATATATATAATATATATATATATATATATATATATATATATATATATATATATATGTATATATATAATTATATATATATATATGTATATATATAATTATATATATATATTATTATTTAAATAGGAAGTCATTCATTCAGCAATCAACAAATCACTCCTTAGATGAGGACATTTTTTTACCCACTACAGGTTATTTGCTTATTTATATAATACTATTTAAATGATTTCCTAATATTAACATTTAGTTTATCAATTTTACCAATTATATTCTATGGGAAAGTGGTAAGGTTTGTAAACACTAAGAAAAAAAAATCAGATTGTAGACTACATGCCTGCATTACTTCCTCATAGAAAACCTTCAAATTTTTTTATTAAGTTTTAACATAGCCTGCTTTTAATTAAAAAAAAAATAGTTAAAACTTTTTTAAGTACTAAAATAAATACCAAGGGTTTCAAGTCTTAAAAGGGACTTCAGGATTATGAGTCAAAGAATTATTTTTACATGGACTCTAGAATCTTGAAGTTTTTAAAGTTTTAATGAACTTATGTATTCCATTGGGATAAAAGTTAAAGATTTAAATTATCCTGCAATCAATGATTTTTTAATCCAAAATTTTTTGAATCCTAATAATAGATTCCAGGGTTTCCAAGTTTAGTTTTTTCCAAGTTTTTAACCTATCAACCAACAATCGATCAACATTGTTAGTTTTAGATTAAAGATAGTAACAAGTACCTCATAGTTCAGTTCTTGGTCCACTGGTATTTGTAATTTTTATAAATGATTTTAAAATAAATATACTAAAAATATCAGAATTATTTGCGGATGTTACAATAGTTAAACAATAATAATGCTCTTTAAAAAAACTTAAACAAGTTATTAGACTGGCCACAAAAGTTCTCAATTAAATTAAATGGGGATTACTTATTGGTAAATAAGTAATACTTATTGGTAAATGGAATCCTCAATTTAACTACAAAATGATCTAAAAAATATATGTGTAATGATATCAAATGGAAAAAAACATGTTATCACTTTTGTAAAAAAAGCTAATTAAAGACCAAGTTTTATAAAACAGTTAAATATCTTGATGTTGCTACATTACAGCAGAGGATGTCCTTGTTAACAAGTCAAACATTCTACTAGTCTACAAGTCTTAAATTACTACTAAGTCTTAAATTACTACTAAGTCTAAAATTAAAATTTTTCTTTTTCTATATTTTGATTTTTGAGCTTGTTTTGTTCTTTATATATTTTTTGAATTTTCTTTTAAAGAGTCCTTTTTGTATAGCTTTGGGGTCAAATTTAGTGTCATGGGGGAAATGATATGATAAAAATAATATGGGAAGTTTAGAAATCATCAGAATTTTTAAGAAAAGTTGTATCCATTGTGATATGTTCTCCAAAAACATACATTTCTGTGCAGAAAAAGAGTTATGAATCATGGATTTTTTTTTCAACAGAATAACAATCCAAACACACTTCTAAATTCTGCCAAAAATATATCGCAGCCAAAGAAAAATAAAAAGAACTAAATTGCTCTAGGTCTCATCAGTTGCATGATTAAAACTCGATTGAGTTATTGTAGGGCAAATTAGATAGAAATGTGAGAAAAATGCAACCAACCAATCAAAAACAGGCTGAAATCAAATATCAACTGAATCATTGCAGAAATTGATTGCAAGGATGCACAGCACATTTGATGCTGTTATATAGGCAAAAAGAGGATACTTAAAAGAATAAAAAAATAAACACTAAAAGATTGTTTAAAAGTATTTTGTTGAAAGATTATTTTACTGTATGCCAATATGGCTAATTAACTGTATAACAATATGGCTACTCGGTGTAGTTAAGGCACTTTTAAAATATTATAGCGCCTGTATGATATTTTGTTGATTATGACATATTTCCGTGAAATGGTCTGGTCTGTGAATTATGAAAAGGCAAAAAAAATTAAAATAATAAATTTTGCGGTATCATAAAATATAAATGTTTGTAGCAAAAAAACCCAGACCATGGAATCTTTTTTTAAAAAAAAAATCATCTTAAAATCACAATCGCTCATCCAAATTTAAATAAGATTTTATATTAATACGTTTTTTAGGTGAAATGAACATTATAGTTTAACAATATGATCTGTTCTGATCGTTTATTGGCAATTATTTATAATTATAAGCTCTTTCTTGGTCAGAATTCCAGTATTTTTTGTGAAAATTGATAGAGATATTGTGTTTTGACAACTAAATATAGTTAATATACGTCAGAACCGATTAGAACTAGGATCAGTAGTAAATTAAGTAACTTTTTAAAAAGATTTTAGCTAATTTCATGTTAATGTCGATGAGCGAAATTGATCTAAAGACTCCAAAATAGTGTTCTTTAGATAAATTATTATGGGTTGTAAAAAGATTTTAAAAATTAAATATAAAAAAGAAAAGTTTCTTCAAATATTATAAAAACCTTAACCAAAAAAAATTATAACATTTAAAGATTTTGTTTGGGCATAATATGCTGACAAAACCATGCTAATTCCAAATAAAAGTATTCAAATATTTTGTAAATCTCCTTAACTACACCAAGTAATTAACTGTATAACAATATGGCTAATTAAAAACTATGGGTAAAATCTGTTTAAAAAAAAGAAAAGAGTTCCTAATATTATCTACAAAAAAATATTATGTTTGGTATCAAATGAAACAAAATCATATGAAAATTTCATAAGTGATAACTATATTATAAATGTATTAATATGGTTAAACCAAATTTAGGTACAAATTTTGATGTTAGTTCAAGGAAAAGGGTTCTTCCTCAATGGATGACTGACCTTAAAGAAGCAATACCACTTAAAAAAGTTGATAAAAAAAAAGTAAGTGGTTTAAAATATCTAATTAAATTTTTTTAACTTTTCAATTAGGGGTTGTCCATAAATTGACACGCTCTAAGGGAGGATAGGGAGGTAAAAAATTGTGTGATATAATTTATGGACAACCCCATAGAGCTTCAACAATATTTTAGTAAAGAAATTTTTTTTTTTAATAATTAATTAGAGTTAATGAGACTGCATGTCCATAGATTAAGTTGATAATGTTTCACTTTGTTTAAGGTGTTGAAGACCCAAAAAAGTGATCATCAAATGCAGAAAAGTGATGCTCATGCTAAAATGACTAATAATTCCAACACAGATATGAGTATTAAAAATGCTGATTCAAAATGTAATGTTAAAGTGGTTAATCATGCTCTGAGCACTGAAAAAAATGATAATGATGATGTTAATGATGATAATGATGGTGTTAATGATGATAATGATGATGTTAATGATGATAATGATGGTGTTAATAATGATAATGATGGTGTTAATGATGATAATGATGGTGTTGCTCAATTGTCTGATCTTGATCAGAGAAATCAAAAAAATGATCAAGGTCTGACGTTTAAGTTTGTTTAAAATATACTTAATTTTTTGGGTTATTGTTACTTGAAAGTTATATAAAATTGTTATATAAAAGTGATTTGATCTATGAAAACTGTGGTTATGGTAAGTACTGTACAAAGTAAATCAGTTGTTGTATTTACACTCCAATATACTAGATAAATCAGTTGATGTATGTAAACTCCATTGTGCTATATAAATTAATTGATTCATTTATTCTTCCACTGTAATAGATTAATCTGTTGATGTATGTATATTTTCACTGTACTAGATAAATTTGTGTATATATATGTACACTCGTATCAATCATTAATAGCTACATAACTTGATTTATTATCTAAAAAAGTATAATTAAATACAAATTTATCTATAAATATTATTTTAAGTTTGGCTCCCTATTAGCAATGTCATTGCTTATAGTTAACGACATAAAAAAGACTACATTAACATCAGTTAAGTTCTTTTTAAAATCTATAACACAGCAGGTACAAAAGGAGGAAAGTCAAGTAAAGCCTTCCAATGCTTTAAAAAAAAAATTACAATTTTCAATTACAAAAGTATTATTTGCATTATAGTGTTAATAAAATTAGAATAGCGACCTTGTTTTAAATAAAAAATATCACATTTAAAAAAAATATTGTTATAAACAAATTGTTTTTCTTGACATTAGTATAAATAAATTAAAATATGTTAAATTTTTTAAAAAGATTATTTCTTAAATAATCATTTTAAAAAATTTGCAACTAAAAATTTTTATTTTGAAAAAAATAGGGAGTAACAAGTAAAAATATTACGTTAATTTAGCTACTTTATTTATCAAAAGTTTATTATTTTATTAGCAACTTTGTTGTGAAGGCAAAGATTATTTTTCCAAACACTAGTTGTTAAAATTTTATCATTGTATATATCATTTATTAAAAAATTATTGCTGCATTCTACTTGCGTAATAAAAAAAAGTTTAACTTATGTTTTGTGCAAATTTTTGATGCAGCCTTTTATATTAACATGTTAATTTAAAATTTAATTTTAAGTAAAAAAAAATGTTTAGGAAGGAAAACAGAAGAAAAAAATTGCAATAAAAATGAGCTAATTTTTTTTTAAGAATAAATAAAATTTAAACATGGAAAAATATTTAGTAATTATTTTAAAGAAATAATTACTAAATATTGTCTGTCAAGTTAAATCCCAGCATTAACTTTAATTTTAATAAACTTACATATATATATATATATATATATATATATATATATATATATATATATATATATATATATATATATATATATATATATATATATATATATATATATATATATATTATATATTTATATATATATATATATTTATATATATATATATATATATATATATATATATATATATATATATATATATATATATATATATATATATATATATATATATATATATATATATATATATATATATATATATATATATATATATATATATATATTTATATATATATATATATTATATATATATATATATATATATATATATATATACATATATATATATATATATATATATATATATATATATATATATATATATATATATATATATATATATATATATATATATAAATATATATATATATATATATATATATATATATATATATATATATGTATGTATATATATATATATATATATATATATATATATATATATATATATGTATGTATATATATATATATATATATATATTTTTTTTTTAAAATCAAAATTAAATTATATATATTTTTTTATCAGAATATAATTATATATATATAATTTTATTCTGATAAAAAACCATCTCCAACAAATACAATTGCAACATCATTACGTGAAGGCAGGTTATAACGATGTCTGTCTTGTTTTTCAAGTAAAGACATTTTTACAAGTAAAACTGATCGACCTTCTATAGCTGCTTGACAAGTTTCTTTATCTTCTACTTCAGCCATGTTTTTAAATGCAAGACCAAATGGGTTAAATTCAATAGCATCAGTTTGCAAATGAAACATTAAATCACATAAGAAAAAATCATTGCCATGTTGTTGCATTCTAAAATTTAATACTGCAAATGGGTCATAGATATACAATCAACAATATGTTGAAGAATATCTTGATCTGGCCTAAGATTACCTATATGATGAAAAACTTGACCACATATTCTAAAGCATGACAGCCCATGGTTCATAGGTTCAACTACATTAACTGTAAATGAAGTAAAAGAAAAACAGTCATTATAATTTCTAATATGTTAAAAAAAATTTCATATTGGAATTATGATCTATATAGTTCCTGTAAAAAATCTTGTAAATCTTGTAGAAATGGTTAGAGTGGAGCCAAAACTACCTTCCCATTATAGCAACATAAAAAATGTTTCATCAGGAAATTTTTTAGCACCACAATGCTGACAAACCTGGTTCGTTTCTCTTAATAAATCTAGAATATTATCTAGTAGCATTTCTTACATTTTGGTGACAATTAATTTCATCTCGCTCTATCTCTGTCTCTTTTATTTTATTTTAATTGATTTTTCTTAATCTTCTAAAAAAGAACAAAAGTAGTTAATTGTATCACAGAAATGTCAATAAAATTATAATCAACATGATGAAATAATAATCAACATGATGAAATAATAATCAACATGATAAAATAATAATCAACATTATGAAATAAAAATCAACATGATGAAATAATAATCAGCATGACAAAATAATAATCAACATGATAAAATAACAATCAACATGATAAAATAATAATCAACATGATGAAATAATAATCAACATGATGAAATAGAATCAACATGATGAAATAATAATCAACGTGATGAAATAATAATCAACATGATGAAATAAAAACCATTCTATTTTATCATGTTTATTATTATTTCATCAACATGATGAAATAATAACCAACATGATGAAATAGAATCAACATGATGAAATAAGAATCAACATGATGAAATAAAAATTAATATGATGAAATAATAATCAGCATGACAAAATAATAATCAACATGATGAAATAATAATCAACATGATAAAATATTAATCAAAATAATGAAATAAGAATCAACATGATGAAATAATAATCAACATGATGAAATAATAATCAAAATGATGAAGTAATAATCAAAATGATGAAGTAATAATCAACATGATAAAATATTAATCAAAATAATGAAATAAGAATCAACATGATGAAATAAAAATCAACATGATGAAATAATAATCAGCATGACAAAATAATAATCAACATGATGAAATAATAATCAACATGATGAAATAATAATCAACATGATGTAATAATAATCAACATGATGAAATAAAAATCAACATGAGGAAATAAGAATCAACATGATGAAATAATAATCAACATGATGAAATAAGCAAGGTATGAAATAATAGCATTTAATGCATATTAAGTTATATTAATTTAAGACTTCTAAAAATTTGTTTTTTTTTTTAAATAATAAAAAAATTAATAAACAAATTTATGAAAAAGTATTTATATAACTTTTTTATTTCAAAAAAGTTCATATAAAATAATTAGGCCTCATCCATATCCCTATTTTCCTTCTAAAAAATAAAAAACTGTTAAAAAAATAAATAAAATAAAGCTAAAAGAAAAGCTAAAACAAACAAAATGTAAACAGTTTAAAAAATTAAAAAGGGTTCTTCTTTTTATCTAATATAAATATAATATATAAATTTTTTTAACTAATTTCTATACTTCTACGATAATATGATCTTAATATTTCTATTATAATTTATCTAATTTCTAAACTAATAAATTATAATTTAATTTTAAAAGGTAAAAAGTTTTAACTCATTTGCTAGATCTTTCTTAAGTGACTACGTGCATTTTTAGAACGCGCTCTTTCAAGTTCAAAAAAGCCTAGTAACTAGTTAAAACTGCTTTAAAAATAAAAGTGAAATGAAGTTAAACATTAAACCTTAACTGGAGGATTATTATGTAGACATTTTTAGAGATTATACAGTTTTTTTATTTTTATTTTATTTTGAAATATGTATTATTAAATAAAAAATGCTTAAATTTAGACTTCAAAATGTTTATTCAAAACGTGATCCGAATCACAAATCAAGACCTGCTTTGATTCGAGATTCGATTAGAAACAAAATGCAGATTCGCAGGGCCCTAATATATATATGTATATATATATATATATATATATATATATATATATATATATATATATATATATATATATATATATATATATATATATATATATATATATTTATATGCGGTAGTGGTGTAGTGGTAAGAGTGCTCGCTTTGTAAGCGAGAGGTTCTGAGTTCGACTCCCACCACGTCCCTGGAAGTACCGCGCTCAACTTAATTTCTCCGCGCAGTGGCCTTGCTTGTCAAGGTTCGTGTTTCGGAGTTAAAGAGTTGAGAAAGGGTCGTACCACGATTTACAACAACAACAACAACAACAAAAAAAAAAAAGAGTAGCCTCCTCGACTGTAGTGGCCTCCTCGGGCCTTGGGGAGGTTAATAATTAAAATATATATATATATATATATATATATATATATATATATATATATATATATATATATATATATATATATATATATATATATATGTTGATTAGGTAAAAATATTTTTTACAAAAGTTTGAATGACAATTATGTTAGATATAAGCACTATTTATTTATGAAAAAAGCTCAAATAAAGTTAAAAATTTAATCTTATTTTGTTTTTATTTTATTGTAATGATTGATTTTTTTGCTTGAAAAACGCTTATACTTTAAGCTTGAAGCAAAGATCATACTAATATAATTTAATTTTGATAAATGATATGATTTAATTTAAAACTAATTTAATGGAAATTTATAATTTTATTCTAATAAAAAGAAAAAAAAATAATTTAATTTTTGATTTAAAAAATGTATTTAATTTTATTAAAATTGAAGTTAGTGCTTGGGTTTAGCTTATTTGTCAAATTTGTTTAAGAATATTGCTTGATATTGTTCAATATTTAAATTTTATTTGTTCTTATAAAAATTAGCTCATTTTTATCGCAATTGTTTTTTTGGTTTTCCTTCCTAAACATTTTTTTTTAACTCAAAATTAAATTTTTTAATGACTGCATCAAAAATTTGCACAAAACGTAAGTTAAATTTTTTTTTTATCACATAAGTTAAACTGCAGCGATTAAATTTTTAAAAATAATATATAGGGGTAAGGGTAGAAACATCCATTTTTGCTATGTCTAATAACATCTGTCCAACAAGATTTGTCCAACAACAACCGAAATCTCATTGATGTATAATAACATCCGTGCAACTACATCTGTAGATTTTTCAGATGTAACTATATCCAAAAAAAATTTTTCTTAATAATGCATTATTTTAACCAGATGTAGTTACACATCTGATTTTTTTCAGATGTAACTACATCGGCCAAAAAAAAATTATTATAATGCATTATTTTAGTCAAAATATTTTTTTTTTTTTTTAAATTATTTAATAGACCGCCTGCCCAAACCAAATCCTCAGTTGATGTAGCAGCACTCCGTTACCAGTAAGGCTATTTGTCAGTTGATATAGCAGCACTCCGTTGCGAGTTGAGCTATTTTTCAGTCGATGTAGCAGCACTTATATAATATAATAATTATATATGTAACTTATCTATATATATAATGATATATATGTAACTATATCCAGAATTTTTTTTTTTTATTAATGCATTATTTTAACAAAGTGTAGTTACACATCTGTTTTTTTTTGGATGCAACTACATCCAGGAAAAAAATTTAAAAATGCATAATTTTATGTAATTACACATCTGATTTTTT